TTGCCATCGTTGTCTCTCTATCCACGACAACGGGCGTTCCGGCTGTCAGGTCACTACATGGACGCCCCGACAAGCCACGGTGAGCTAGTAGACGTTGCCCATTTTAGCCCGGCCGTTGTGGCCAGCCATGCCATGATGACAGAACCCGCTACCGACGCGAGCAGATGCACATACCTACCTAGGTACATACGGTGTGCGTGCTGTGGACACACGGACATGAAGACGGCCCAATGGATTTCTCGGCTGGCAGAGACTGAAATGTTTCAAGCTCGCTTCGTCGTGCCCCTAGGTTGATCCTCCACGTGTGGAGAGCGGCGTGCTGGCCTCTGGCCGCCATCTCTCCCCAATTTCGGGTCTGGCAGGATCCGCGCCTTGTGATAGATGGCGGCGGGCCCACGGGTCACCGCCAGACTCTGTGCCTCAGGCATAAAGATTGGGCCCAGGTGCGGCGGGAAATCCCAAAAGCCAATCTCGCGGCAAAGAGATATATGCTTAAGCACCCATGCCGCCGTGGGCTCACGGGCTCACGGGCTCCCACCCCGTCTCGAGTCGGCGACACGAAGCGGAGCTCTCCTGGGGTAGCGATCGTCGGAGATCCTGGACAGATGGAAAATCTCTATCGTTCGTTGGTGTGGGCGTTTACTACCTAGTAAATCAGTCTGATGAGGAACCCGCCCCGATTCTTGCGCCAGAGAGGCGGGCTCGGGATCTGAGCGTCGAATGTTAGTGCGGCTCTGGGGTCAACGCATGGGATGAGTGGGGAACGTCGCTTACAGCTGGGTGGGGCTACTGGAGGAAAGCCGCATGTTGTTCTCGACATATTGGTTGCGCCCTGAACTTTTGGTGTGGGTCCCCTGGACATCTCTGACGAAGGCGAGACGACGTGGGTTTCTTTTGCTGCGGGTCGCTTCGCTGGAGGCCTTTTTAGGGAAGGCAGACCGGTTGGCTGACGAACAAAATGGAAGAAAATTGGAGATTTTCAAGAGCTCGCTTCGGTGCCGCGGACCCCTCGACACAGGGCCCTGGCCTGCAGCGTCGTTTGTTGGGATAATGCTTCCGAAAAAAAAAGAATTCCCAGCAATCGAGAACGGACCTCGTGACCATTATTGGACGGAGAAATTCCAGACCGTGACCGCCCCCTTACCGTCATTTTGGACGAACTGGCGCTGGGGGGCCAAGCCAATACTTCCTCGAAATATGCACAGGAAAGAAACTCGAGACGGGAGAGACCGCGACTCCACCGGGCGGCGTCTCCTAGACGACGAACACAACGTCGACGACAGCGATACTCCTTTCCTCGAGATCGTATGGTTGCGTGGCGGACCGGGAGGCCGGGAGTTGCAACGCGGGAAAACCAGGTCTGGTCCTGGCGGCAATCATTGTCAGTGTCACCTGGGACGGGGGCGCTCTGGACATGGGATTCTTGCCCTTCCTCGGCTCGCCCCTTTTCCTGACCCGAGCTCCACTGATCTTCTGCAACATTATCAGCAAAGTGTGGCCTGAGCTTCGAGGCTCCTGACAAAGTGATGCCCCGACCGGGGCCACGACACCCTCCGTCGGAGTTTTGCCGTTTCAATCCTTTGTTTTCCTGCGGCCCCTGTCAACGATGATCCGGGCTATTTTCATGCCGAAAGGGGCTCTCGGATCTTCACAATGCATTGCAATATGGTTTTTGACGGGCATATAGAAACGATCGACGCATTCTTTTTTCCCCGTCGCGATATTACCATGTTGTCTGCACTCAATGGAGCGGGGCCTATGGGTATGGGAACGGTGGGGATGGTATGGTCATTCATAGCTGTCTAGCATTGTCGCATAACAGCGATAACCGCCCACTACGGCATCAGATCCGCTGCCCCTCGGCAGGTGCCACCAGGATGACTGGCTGTCTATGCGCCGTCCTCTGACGCCGAAGCTGGCTCTTCAATGGGAGGTGGGCTTGATCTGGATGTGTTAAGGCGTTCGTTGCCCAGAATTACTTTTTACAGCAGCCTCGCATGTCAGTGAAGCTTCCCGGTCATGGTGAGGGACAGGGAGATGATCGGAACAGACTTACACCGATCGTACAGAAAATAGCTTGTAACAAGCAGCAAGGGCACGCCGACCACAGCACCTGTGTAGCTCCACCGCGCTCGTTTATACTCCTTTGAAGCCGTGTCGGCCCCGACCCTTGCAGAGGGCCGGGTTGGAGTCTGGGCAGGGGATTTAGGAGGCCTTGCCGCCGCCGCGTGTTGAGAGGTGGTTGCCGTCTGGATAGTAGCAGCCCGCATGGGCGCGGCAGCGGCCCCGGCCACTGTTGACGGCCCCGGCTTTGCCACAGGCGGAACGGATGTCGGGCCCGCAGCCTTCACTTTCGGTTGGGCCGCGGCTTCGGTCTTGACGGGGCCGGGGCTAGGCTGCGGGGTCTTTTTCACGGGCGCCGCCGCAGATACGCTGGTCTGGACAGGTGCCGTCCTCGCGGGGCCAGGGCCGGCTGCCTTCTTCGCTGGGACCGGGGTCGGCACGGCGGCCTTTGTGGAGTCGGCCTGCTTCGCCTTCTTCGGCGTGGCGGCTGTCTTTTTCTTGGTCGCCGTGGTGGCCGTGGTAGCCGTGGTGGTCGTGGTGGCGTGACGGAGGCACTGAACCCGGATCGGTGCGTGGCCGGCACGGGCTCCAGCACCGGCCAGCAGGCACCGCCTCATTATGGCGGGTGCCCAAATCCTGTGTGGTAACATCTCAAGGGAGGGTAGCCTCTTGCTAGCTGTGAGTACAGTCGAAGAAATCAATCGGCGTCGAATCACGCAGCCCAATTCGGACGGTTTGTATTTTGTTTTGCAAATGATGAGAAAAGAGAGGACACAGGAAACACGGGGAAAAAGTTTTCATGCTCACCCGCTACCACCCAAGCCCGGTTGAACCGTGGAAAGCAGTCACTCAATCCCATGCGCTAACAGTCACACATACTCCCACCAAACTTTTGACCTGTGTCGTGCCTTCCTCACGCGTCGTCGTGATCCCACGAAATTGCACTTTATGCGCAGTTTAGTGGGGCGTTTTATCGCGACCTCACCCCGCACTGTCTTTGTGGTTGGGTCTGATGTTATTCCCGGAATGACGTGTGATTGATGCTAGTACGTCATCCTGGCAAGTGCATCTTTGCATGCGTGTTTAGTCTGGCCTAAAACTAACCTCGCCACTTGGATATAGACACCTACCTACCTGGTAATTATAAAGATAGATCAACCAAAGACTAGCCACTATCAAATTCCTATCAGCAAGAAACATGGCTGCCAAAAGTGTCCTGATCCTCGGAGGAAGTCAGTCAACACCCCACGATACAGTCCACAAAATCCACAAGCCAGATGTACCTAACAAAGCTCCTCAGATGGCAAGATCTCGAGGCTCCTGACCCCGATGTTACTAGGTAAAGGCTGGAAAGTTACCAGCGTCATCAGAGACCCGGACCAGCAGCAGGCCATCAGGGCCGACGCCCCCGCCTCGGGCACGCTCGACGTCCTCATCCGCAGTCTCGAGGCGGTCCGGAGTGAGGCCGATGCACGCGCCATCATCCAGGAGTCGAACCCGGACTACGTCGTCTGGTCCGCTGGGTGCGCGAATCCCCGGCTCATGCTTGCTTGATTGTGTGTCCGCGTCTTCAAGTGAACAACTCAACTAATGACGAGGGGCTGCTTGCGCGACTACAGAGCCGGCGGCAAGGGCGCCCCGGAGCGCACCTTCGCCATCGACCGGGACGCCGCCATCCATTTCATCAAGGCGTAAGCACACATACACAAACTCACACTCACACTCACACCTACAGCATCACAACACTCCCTAACCCATGCCCAACACAGCTCCGCCGCGACCCCCTCCGTCAAGCGCTTCGTCATGGTATCCCACCTCGGCTCGCGGCGTCGCAAGCCTGCCTGGTGGTCTGACGCCGACTGGGACGCCTGCCGGCACCTGGCCGAGGCCGTCCTGCCGCGCTACTACCAGGCCAAGCTCGCGGCCGACGAGGTACTACACCGCGAGGGCCGCACGGGGCGGCCCGACTTTGTCGCCGTGTGCCTGCGCCCGGGGACCCTGACGGATGGCCCGGCCGGGCCCGTCGACCTGGGAAGGACGGCGGCGGGGACCGGCAAGGTGAGCCGCGCCAGCGTCGCCGAGGTCGCGGCGGCGCTGCTGGAGCTCGACGACGAGCGGGCCGCCGGGGTGCGGAACAGCTGGCTGGACCTGTTGGACGGGGGCGAGGACGTCCAGGGTGCGGTGGCCCGTGTCGCGAGGGAGCGTGTGGATGCTGCGCCGGGTGAGCCGGTGTTTGAGGAGGAGTAGCGAGTGGTATGTAGAGGGGAAGAGTTGTTGCTTTTGGCTACATGGATGGTTCGTTACGATGTACGGTCGAACAATGAAAATATGCTCCTGGCAGAGAGAAGCCCGAAACGCGCAAAAATGCATCGACCCGGTGCCCAAACATGGGATAAAACAAAAATAGTTGGGTATTCGGCTAATAGTTATATGCAGGTATAGATACACATGCTATGCAAAAAAA